AAAAAAAAAAAAAAAAATAGAAAACAGAAAAAACCCCGTATATAACAATAAACACCAATTTTTGAGAGCTAGCCGAACTTTGTCAACAGTCAAGGTGCAAAAATAAATTAGAAAATGAAAAGATTCCTCAAGGGTGATTGACAACTTGTGTTGTTTCGCATGGTATTGATGCTTTCTATCCCAGTGTGACCGAGCTCACATAATGAACACTTTTGATTCTTTCGCGTCTCACAGGTTTTACACAATTTACAGTTGCTTCATAGTTTTCGAATGTATGATGAGGAATACACGGAAAACCTCAATCAGTACTCAGGTCAGTACTCAGTCCCTCTTGCTATATCAGCCAAGGACAAATTTGGTATTGATAAATGCGATTCCGAAGAAACACCAAGTCAAGCACTAGTAGGAAGTTTACTTGTTTCTCGTCAAAGATTTTGATTAAGCACTGCGAACTTTTCCCGAAGGCAAAGTTCGTGAATTAGGCAGTTGGTATCGAAGCCTTCTTATATCAAGATATATGTGCATCATACTTGCACATTCACCAATGAGCCGCGAATCGAGTAATCCAGCACTATATGAAGCAACATATGCAAAGCATATGTATTTTTGAGTGAGCGATTTCCACAAAGGAGGAAGAAGAATTCACATTTTGGAAAGTGGGAAGCTTAGCCAGATTCAAACTTACTTGCAAATTCCAATTTTATGAGCCATTTGGTGAATGTGCTCACCGGTGCACTGCACACATCCGTTGGCAGTGAGCATGGACTTCTCGGTTTCCTACCAACGAGGCACGTATTCAATCTTCATTCGTGAACATGGCCGAATTTCTCAAGTATGTTTCGATCAAGTCATTGGCGCATTCAAAAGAGCGCAAAGCATATTGCAATCGAAACGGAACCAACTAACACTTAGACCCAAGAAGACGAACCCAAGAGGCATTCCTGAGGCGCCATTCATCGAAAAGGTGGAAAGCATCATCAAAAACCCCGAAAAGGAGTTTGAAGCCACCTTGCAGGCTTTCCAGGACAGGTTGCAGCAGTACAAGTACATGGAACTCTCAAAACAGCAGCAGTTGGCGGACTTGAAGATTAAAATCCCCGACATCGAAAAGAACTTGGCCATTATAAACCACATCAAGGAACGAAAAGAAAGTGGCGACGACGATCAGCTTCTTGAAACCAATTATGAGTTAGACAGCACGCTATACAGCCGGGCGGAAGTCGATTTGCAGGCGCTCGACTCCGTGGGCTTGTGGTTGGGAGCGGACGTCATGTTGGAATACCCTCTTGACGAGGCCGTGGAACTTTTGAACACGAGATTGCAAAACAATGTCCAGCTGTTGGAAACGGTGGAGGAAGACTTGGATTTCTTGAGGCAAAACATCACCACCATGGAGGTCAACACTGCGCGCTTGTATAACTGGGACGTCGAGCGGAGAAAGGCCTTGCGGAATGTGGAACAAAACACACAAAATCTTAAAATATAGGTCAATGTTTGACATGAGTGGCCTCCCGGTACACGAATGCCCGGAAATAAGACGAATCTAATACGAAACCGTAAAAAACAGAATTCCAATCCGGTGGCCTCTTGGGGAGATTCCTGGTACGCTGTATTTTATTAGAGCTCGAGGTTTTCGGGGTGGGCTTTTGTATGAGAAGCTTCCGAAGCGTGGCCAGCAAAGAAGCAGGCACAGACTGCGCTTGCTAAACACCGTCTCTGGATTCAAGATCAACTTGGTACCAGAGGCTTCGGCCTGTATGTGCCCAAATTTCTTCCGTTCGTACGCCTCCAATCATGTTCTGAAAGTGTCGAGAAACTGCCGACCAAGCGGCCGTACCGGGCTCGTAGAACGGGTTCCGCCTACCTCCAGCCGGTGCGCCAAGTCGTCGATGGCCACCTCCAGCTCGTCCTCGTCTGCCTGATTCACAGTCTCATCTGCCACTGTGGGCAGCGGCTCAATTTCTGTCTCGGCCACACGCTGGTAGCCCTGCCATCTCCGGGCCAACGTACGGATAGTACGCGGCAACTTGTGAGGCGCCACAAGGAGCTGAAACACCATGGATGGCAACACCCAGGACCTCGAGCCCAAAAGAAGATCTTTCGTGTACAAGAGTCCGATGACAACGCCCACAAGGACCGGAAGGAGCGACTTGAAGCCGTGGTTTAGCATGAGAAGTGTGAACACGAAATGGACCTGAAAATGGTTGGTGAGCGTGATGGCCTTACCCCCGTTTTCCAGCAGGCCATTATCGGCGCCGAGGCTCGGGCCTGGGGTGTTTACGGGCCTTTTCAACAAGATCTTGAAGCGGTACAGCACGGGGATGTACGTGCCATGGCAGATATATAGCAGTGCCAAGATGCCCAACGGACCAGGCACGACGGAGTTAAATATCGTGTCATAGTACACAAGCTGCATGGGCTGGCCAGACACAAAACGGCGGGCCACGGCGGCAAAATACACAGTGGCGAGTTGTCCGATGCAAAGCGTGAGGAATGTCCCCACTGCGTTGTAGAGCGCTAGAAGCGTGACCAACGAAAAGTACTTGCGGGGCCCGAAAAGCCGCTCAAGCGTCTTGAAATGGAACCAGAGCACAATGGTGAGTATGAGGTCGGACTCGTTCACCACCGAAAACTGGAACGTGGCCACACGCCAGTATTGCGAGTACGTGACTATGAACGGGTCTATGGTGAGATTTACATACTGTTTCAGCACGAGCACCAGAAGCGCAAGGGCAAACACAATCGACGCGGTACACACCGCCTTGGTCACGGGGGTGTTGGTGAAGCCGCGGATCGGCGTTATTTGCGGCATTTCTTGGGGTGGTGGCTGGAAACGTGGGGGTCCGTTTGCAGATATACGTTCTATATAGTGCTACGCGCATGCGACGGGCAGGCCCGGTACTTGGCTTGGTGAAGCCTGCGGCCGGTGCGAGCACGTCATTGGAATCCCACGACAAATTACAAGGCTCTTGATAGTCTTTTATTTTGGAGTAGAATGGTGTGTTGCCCATTTTAAGTTTTTTTTTTTCTTGTATGTGTTGCTTTCTGTGGGGCAACAGACTATATGCTAGAGCCGGGCAAGGGTGCGCGTATGATGGAACAGTATCCTTTGAAGAGATAAGAATGCCAGGCTAGTGCAGCTGGTGGCGTACGAGGGTATATTTTGGTGAGTGTGTTGGTAAGCACGCATGGCTTTATTCCGGTTTATGGAATATGATTTCTTGATGATAGTATTATATGGTATTATATGGTATATGGTATTATATGGTATATGGTATTATATGGTATATGGTATTATATGGTATATGGTATTATATAGTATATGGTATTATATGGTATATGGTATTATATGGTTTTATTTAGTATTGTATATTATTACATAGCATTACATATCATTATATAGTATCATATAGCTATAGTATTATGTAGTATTATATACTTTCATCATAATAAAGCTATCGTATTATGTAGTATTATATACTATCATTCATTATCATATAGTACCCTATAGTGTTATGGAGTTCTACATACCATCATACATTATCACGTACTATCACATACTACCACACACTATTATGTACTTCAAACAATCACATACTATCAAACTACCAAACAACCAAACCATTTATATATGATCTACTCTCATATTCTGTTGTAAAATACTTATTTTTTTGTAATAGGCTATATCTTTTATCATATAGCCATATACAAACCATGATTAGAGTGAGTATCAATATTCTCCCTGTGATCCATAGGATCATACCAACTATAACAATGAAGTTTCTCCCGCAATCAAACCCATCAGTAGTCAAACAACTACCAAACCGGATCTAAAAGCCAAACACCCCCGCCCAGGCCAAATGTCCTCCAGCTTAATATAGCCCACTCTCTCTGGGATCCAGCTTTATCCTTGGTTATTACTATACATGGTGGCATGTGCCTACTGCAACTTTTCTAACTGTTTCTTGGTCTTCTCGATCTGCTTTCTCTTCTTGGCCAACTTCTCCACACGGCTGTCCTTCTTCTCAATACCATGTTGCATGCGGTCGTACAATCTCTTCAGCTTCTTGTTCATCATGATTGTCTTCAACTCCTTCTCCTCTTCCTCCTCAGACTTCTTAGGCTTCTTGGCCTTCTTGCCAGCGGAGCCAGTCTGCGCGTCCGAGTACTTGACACCAGCAGCCTCCAACTCCAACTCCTTTTGTTGCCTGAGGTCTTCGTCTTCTTCCTCCTCCTCATCCTCGTCAGCAAGCTCCTCACCCTCAATCTCCTCTTCCCCGCTAGACTCGCCCTCGGCATCACCTTGGGCAGGTTGTTCAGGGTTGTAGTTGCCTGCATCTCCCCATGGTGACAAATGTGGAGGCAAGGTTTCTCCCACAGCATACTGGCTTGCGGAAACAAGCTCACCCTTGTTTATGCTATCAAACACCCATTGTGGCTGCACGTAAGTACGGCCTGCAACCTTGTTCAAGATCTTGGGTCTGTCCACAAGCAGATGGGTGATTGTGGACAAGTCCAACTTAGCATAGGACTCGGGGTTTTTCAATTTAAGCTCGTCCAAGGCAATCTCAGACACAATCTTTCCTCCTGCCGACAAGATGCAAAGCTCAAGAATGTCCAAAGGCACCTCACGGCCGACAAAGAACGTGAAGTCGCTAAAGAGAGTGGAGCTTGGGGAAGAGTATTTGCTGGGCTGGCTCAACAAGTCTCCTGGGTTCTTGTTGGCAGACGCAAACTCATCCAACTCGACGGTTTCCACGTTTTCCTCAACGACATCCTCGTCCTCTTGCGCGTCGGCGTCCTTGGCTCTCTGGATGTCCTTCTCAGATAATTTCGTGCTCGCCTCTTGTTCGGGGATCTCGGCAGAAACCTTCTCGTTGGGAAGCAACGTGTTTAAGCCTTCTTGCTTGGACTTTAAGACGTAACTGGACAATCCGCCAATGCCCTTCAACTGCTCGGTATTTACAGGAGGAGGATACACTAAGTCTGCGTCGGCGTACAACTTGAACAACACAAAGTGCAACATGGTGGAGTAGAACTCCAAGAACGTCAACATGATTTTGAAGTCAATGTCAGAGGGGATGTTCGTGGGGAACTTGAACGGCACCAACCACCGCACTTCCTGGCCTTTCACGTTGGCCTGGTAGTACACACCTTTAATGGAAACAAACACCTTTTTGATAAGTCTTTCCTTGGCCACATAGGCGAGCCACTGGTTGGTCAATTTGGCGGCGTCTTTCGTGACACGGTGACTGACACGATTCGTGGCCGGCATGTTGGCAAACAAAAACAACATATTCAACGGATCGTCGAGGTCCCGCAATGCATCCGGGAATGAAGGGTACCTTTCTCTGACGAGATGGTCCAAAGTATATTTGGGGCGAGTCTTCTCGAGTTTGTCGGCATCGGTGATTTCGTTCTTCGATAAGGCCTTGCTCAATTTTTTGGCAAAGGTCTTGTGTTCTCTGAACTTGTTCAATACAGGCTCGTGCAACAAGTATTGGATGTCCTTGGCGTAGTAGAAAGTAACGGCTTTAGTCGAGCCTTTGTTCGCTCTCTTCTTGTTCCTGGGCTCTCTTGGAAAGATACCCTTGAAGATACAGAGACGGCGGAAATCCGCCAACGTGATCTGCAACTTAGAAATAGCCGCAGATCTCGTGATGAAGTTCTTGGCTGCCCCGGATTTTCCCTTTCTCTTTATTCTGGCCATTTTGGTGAGTGAAACTATGTGAATATGGGGAGGAAAAGAGTGGTTTTTTTCTGTGCGAAGAGATGAGCATGCCCAGAGTGCGGCGCGATGCGATGCTGGAAACACCTGGCGGACTGCTCACGTGATTCGGCCTCAGTCAACAAGTAGAGGAATATCTCGTCCAGTCATTGCATGAGTATTGGCCCGCTTGTATTTTTGGAGTTGCAACTGGTACAGATTTATGCATTTGCCTAGGTCGTGGCTTGGCGAAGTACGAACATTTGTGTGGAGACATCTTCAAGGATCCATCATATCAGGAAACAACTTGTCCAGTATGGCACGATACTGATCCAGCCAGGTTTCTTTTGGCTTTCCAATCACTCTTTATTCTTGGGCTTTAGGAAATTCCGGCATTGATACGAAGGTTTTATTCTATAATTGTTTTAGATCAAATCACCGCCAGGAAACAAGCGTTGGTTTTAAATGGTTCCCCACGTCTTTTCAAAATCATAATTCGTTTGCGTAAAAAGACGACAAAATGAGTAGAATTGTGAACGAAACACCATCAATATTTAAAAAGTCATAATTCCAAAATTACATTGCATAGAGATTTGAGGGTCTATATAAAGCGAACAATTATTTTTTTTTTTCATTCACAGAGGCACTGAGTCTTTAGAAATCCGGGCAGAGCGTAAACAAAAATTTGCCAGTGGCCAATATGTCCGGCCGAATGTTCCGTCTTTTTTGCATTCCCCCAGAGTTTATGGTTTTGATGTGTGGCATGGTGTATTTCCTATTTTTACCCGAGTCTTTTTTCAAATAGACATGAGACACTCGAAGACAATAAAACCTGTCAGCCATTCGCACTATGAGGCCAACTCTTTTTGCACCCACACCTAGACTTCTTTTACGTATCTTTGGTTGCATTCACGCCAAAAACTTGCTAACACTTCAGTAAATATCTATCCATTATTGCTAAATATGAGTCGAAGGACAAGACGGTCCACCAAAACCATTGAAAACATTGATTTGCAGATTATGAACACCAAGATCCAGCTACATCGGAAACTCGTTTCATCAGACATCGACTATGACCACTATAGAGCTGGTGCCATGCCTCAAGGTAGTGTTATATTATCACAGCCTTGGTTGACGCTTGGTGAGGTGTTTTGTGATATCAGTGCTTGTGACTTTATTGATTTTAAGCTGAGCCTTTTGACTAGATATACTCTCGGGAGAAGAGATATCGATCCGTTAATCCCGCCGTTCTACCTGCCACGAGAAAAAGAAAAGCGGTATTTCATCAATTATATGTGTAGAGTATTGCCATTTAGAATAAAAGAGTTCAAGGAGACGAGCACGAAGTCAAAAGATATGCGTTGCTTTGATCCACAGTTTGTCCTCGACTATCCTACTATATTGACCAGGAATTTTAAGAAATAAATTATAATTCAATTTTCCAAAATACTATTAGAGCGAGATGCTGACTTTAGCTAGAGCCTCTTGTATTCGCGAGATATTAGACTCAAAATGGGCCACATGCAATTGAAACGATCGTTCCATTCAAAACAAAGAGCTAGATTGGCATCCTCATCTTCACCCTCAGCCTTTACTGGTACGTAAAAAAGTGAATCATATTTGTCAGCTATCCTATAGCAAATGCGGCGAATGTCAGTCAAAGGCATTTCAGCTAGCAGCTTGACAAAAATTCTTGTTTTCAAGATCATGGCCGTGTGCTGCACCAAATATAAAAAACTGTAGTAAAGCTGGCGATGATGCACATCACTAGCATTTAACCGCAAAATGGCCATGAAATCTAGATCCAGAAACTCGATCTCATGGGTGAAAAATAGCTGGATTAAGGTCGTATCTTTGATCTCACTGGAAGAGTTTCCAGTGAGGGCGAAGAATATTTCAAGAAGCTTTCGCCGACGTGCCTCGGCTTCGGTGGCTTTTATAACAAATGGATCGAGGTCAATATCCGAGCGACCGTCTTCAGATTCCCCGTCGCAAATTATGGCCATGTTGGCACTCTATAACCGAAACAAAAAAGATGTAGACCTATTTTCTAATCTTGAATATTTCTGGATGTGCAATCGGATAAAAAATTAAGTCATAAAGCAAGTTGGAGTAACAGCACCTTGAAAGGCCAAGACTTTTGTGACTAGATCGAGGTTATCATATAGTGCGAATTGCACCCGAGTCCGCAAACCCATTGTAACTTTTATTTTCTCCATCAAGTTAGAAAGTAAATTGAGATGCAAGAAAGATTCAGGGCTTCGAGATATACTCAAAAAGTTGCAACCCAAGAGGAAATGAATACTAGTATGGCTTTGTACCACTGGGAACGTACGTTCAATGTTAACGGGTTTAGCTATCATTACTGCGTGGGGCAAGAACCGAACGAAGCATTCTACCAGCTACCGGAAATCGCGGAGAAGATGAATGCAAAGCTTGAAGCCAAGGCCGAATTCATGAAGCTTGCTGCCTTGACTGACACTGGGAGTTCATTTGAAGATTATTTGCGTCAAATACAACAAACGGACACTCTTCCGGCCGTGATCGAGCCTTTCGACTTCGACTGTTTAAGGCCAACAAGAGCCACAATGAAGGAAATTTATGGGCTAAATAAAGGGGCCAAGACTGCCGTGGATTATTCGTGCTTGACGAGCATCAACAAGCTCCAATTTATGTCTCGTGTCGCGGCACTTGATTTTAGTGGCGATACTAGGTTATCCTACGACACTCTTTTTTCCGATTAAAGAAGTCAAGGTAGTTAGCTGGGTGCATTCCACTGAGTCTTCAGTACATTTTCACCCGATGTATGCAAATATTGTCAACCTCGCATGTCGTTGCGGCTTCTCTCCCCCAGCATTTCTTTATTAACAGTGCTCGCCTACTCCACGTTTCGCCGCGACACCATCACCAATTACCAGTTTTTTCGACCTCTCTCCACTCTGAATACACTGCATAAATTTTTTCCCACCTCAACATCAACCCACATGTCTTACCCTGACGTGCTTAAGCGTGGAGAAGACTTCCTCTCTGAGTATCCTCGAACCTCTCCCTGGTGGAACTATGTCTCCCACGCCACGTGCTTCGGCATGGTGTTGGGGTCCAAGTTCTTCCTTAATCTTTTTTATAACCCACAGGTGCATAACATCGAAAAACTCGACTGGGCACTAGAAAAGGCCCGCAAAGAAAACAGGGCTCTTCTCACTGTGATGAATCATATGTCGGTGGTGGACGACCCTGGGTTCTACTCGATGCTTCCAATGCGTTTTCATACTGATATCGATACAGTCAGATGGGGCTTCGGCGCACACAATATCTGTTTTTCCACGCCATCCATGTCGTGGTTTTTCAATTTGGGCAAAATCTTGGGGACCAAAAGATTTGGCGAGGGTCCTTTCCAGGGATCCGTGGATGCTGCTATACGGATTCTCAGCCCCGACGACACGCTAGACTTGGAGTTCTCTCCCTGGGTCAAAGAGAGGGAAAAGCCATCTCTAGTGCAAGAAATCAATAACATTGGCGGCTTGGTCTCCGAAAAGGTGGGGCAGGCCGTGCAGGCAGTCAAGCCCAATGCTGAGGCCACCAATATTCTTATGTCCAAATCGCCGTTCGTTCGGTCAAAGACTTCGTGGTTCCATGTGTTTCCCGAGGGGTTTGTCCTTCAGCTAGAAGAGCCTGAAAACAACTCGATGCGGTACTTCAAATGGGGAGTTTCTCGCTTGATTTTGGAAAGTACGCGTACGCCCGTAGTTGTTCCTATTTTCTCGCATGGGTTCGAGAAAATCGTCCCCGAAGATAGCCCCAGTGACGGATTTGACCGGTGGATCCCCAAGAACATTGGTGCCGAGATCCATGTGACTATTGGTGATGCCATCAAAGACGAACTCCTTGAGAGCTACAGGAACGAGTGGAGAAAGTTGTGTGCCAAATACACCGATCCCAAAAATCCCCAGGATCTTTCGCCAGAACTCATGAACGGCAAAAAGGCTCAGACTCTTCGATCCAAGCTAGCCGCGGACCTTAGACGGCACGTGCTGGCCATTCGGGAGGGGCTTGGTAAATTTGCACCCGAGAACCAAAAGTTTAAAGACCCCGCCTTCTGGAAGGCGTACACTTTGTCAGAAGGCGCAAGTGACAAGGACGTCAAGTTTATCGGACAGAACTGGGCGATCAAGAGGCTTCAGAAACATTTGCCCGAATACGAAGACGGCCTAGAGTAATGCCGATACTTTCTAGTGGGCCGCCTATTAATTTATCTTTGTATATAGTGGAATATTCTGATACATGACTTCGGTTGATTTTAAAAATATGTAGGTATGAGAATCAGACCCGCAAACGATACCGGAAACTGTATGGCCAAGGACTCGTGCTGCTGGAAAAATTATACAGATTCTACAGGAATATCTGTCTACAAGATCTGCACCAAATCAAGCGAAACGACCTTATCCCCAATGCCAATATTGACAGACATGTCTTTATCAAAGCCGGCTCTAGTTCGCATTTTTTCGCCGGAGCCAGCTTTCTGCAGATTAGCCCCGGACTCAGCTTGACTCTCTGATCTGGCTCCTGCGCAGTATTATGCGTTTTTCACCATCTGCAAAGTTTATCACCAAAGACTCCAAAATACATGTGGCCAAGCCTCCTGAAATGCCTGATTCACAGGTATCGACAGCTTTTATCTAAGCCCGTGCCTCTTGCGTATACGGTGGGCCCCAGAAGACACAAATGGATGTTTGCCAAAAGTCCATCGCGAGACTTGGCCAAGCATGGCCAGGTGATTGTGGAGGAGCAGAAATCAAGTACACAGAGCCCAAAAAGCATTATAGAGCTCAAACATTATTTTCGCACCCGTGATCTTTCTAAAGACGCCAGAATGAGACATCTTCGAGCGAAAATGGAAGAGCTTGTTGGAGTTCCTGTTGAAAATCACTGGGCGGACGACTACTTCACAACCATTGACGCTGTATTCATGAGTTTACACCGAGAAAATGGTGTTGCTGACTACTTACTACCTAAAGAGGACTTGTTCGTCCTTTTTGATAAAACGGCGCGTTTTTACCTCGACTCTGGGAGGTCAGACATGCCCCAGTATATGGCCATCTTGGCTCTGGCTTTCACCAAAAGTGATATGACCCCGCCAACTAGTGTGCTTGTCAATATTGTGGAGATTGGCTCCAGGGCCAAATTCGGCGGATTGTCTTCCTCCTTATCGTATGTGCTCCAAAGCAGAACTGTGACAATAGGGCCAGATTTTATTCCCTCCCTATTAGAACGCCAGGCACAAAATGCTCTTATTATTCTTGATACCTATGAATCGCTTTTGGCTGCTGCAGATTCCTCAAACCAGCACAGAATTGTGAATGACGAATTTGTAAGGTCCTTCATCAGCCATGTACAAGAAGTCTTTGCTGACTCCAACCCAAAGATACACGAGTATCTAGATGAAAACAGAAACCTCCATCGAATTCAGTATATTTCCAACAAAGTCATTCATGAGTACTTGAAGGCGGCAAACACTCAAGATGTCTTACGCTTGCTCAAGCTAAAAGCAGACTTGAATTCCGTGCATGCAAATGAGAGCGACATAGACGCACTCGAGACGATCATGATGCATATCCAAGCGCATGGTGAACACGACAATTTTTCACATATCCAGCAAGTTTTGTTCACTCAAGATATTGACGACGAGGAAATGGCGCAATGCTTGCTTTCACAAGCGGCAAAGGGAAAATCGCAATATGACGTATTACTTCTGAATATATGCGATTTCGTCATAGGTGACGAAATAAAGTTTTCATCGAGCTTGAGGCTTCAATCGCTCCTTTGGAAAGCATCGCTCTCTCAACGGGACAAGCCATATCATCAAGTATTTCCTGAGGTGAAGCGAATTTACGACCCTTTTGCCAATAATCGAGAAACCGCATCTAATGTGTTAAGCGATGTACTTCGAGCCACATCTACATTCCAGGTGAGCGACACTCAAGGCTTACTCGACTTGATCTATCAGAACTTTGTGGAGATTTATGACATTGATCTTTCCATCATGGATTACAAGCTTATGATTGACCGATTTCTTGAGCAGAAAGATCTGGAACTGGCTTATTCATTGTTCCAGGAAAGTATAGAGATAGGTCTAGCTCAATGGGTCGAATCGGCTGATCCTTCGATAGCCGCTACGCTAGATAATCTCGTCATTTCGCTTTTCCAGACGGACGCGGCCGTCGCAGACATCTTTTCTAAATTCAAAAAAGTCAAACAGCATATGCCTGTGAGCTGTTCGGCAGATGCACTCCATGCGATCGCCCAGAAAATGTTGGCCGAATGTTGTGTGGGTGATGTTATGGAGTTGATGAAGCGAGAATTGCCAGCGATCGAAAAAGATTCATACCGCAAAATTAGAACCGACTTGCCGTATTGCAGCCCTTATGACAGGTTGTTCCACTTGCTCCACCAGTTTGTGGTGACATATAAGGAAGATACAACGTTTCAAACGAACTGGGTTCTTTATGGAGAAATGCACAAGTACTTCCACATACCCGCTCATACGTATCTTCCTGTCATAAAGTTTTTCTGCGAGACTGGAAGATTAAATGCGGCTTTGCTTATTGTCCGTCGTATGAAAATGCTTAGTGAACTTCATGCTGACTCAAATATCAACCCTCCTCCACAGCGTGAAATCTATGTCTACTTATTGAAAGTTTTTGGTGATCAGCTTTATGAAGAGGGTGTGGTCGAGATCCACGAATTTCTCAAGATGGATACCAACATTCAAACTCAAGATATCCACATGCAAAATTCGATTTTGAATGCGTACTCAAACTTGCAGAATATTGGCAAAGCGAGAGACTTGTTTCTTACCATCTCGAGCAATCCTAAACAGGAGGGAGGCATCAACGAGGAAACTGCCCAAATCATGCTCAAGACCTACACATATAGCGGGCTCCCCTATGTGAAGAAGTTCTGGAACAGTCTCTCGCTGTATGGAATTTTTCCTGATTATGGAATTTATAAGCAATACCTCATTGCACACACATATCATGGCGATGTCGCGGAAGCCATCAAATTGGTTGAGGAAATCGACGACTACAACCTCGAATTTTCTTCTGACCTTCTTTTGTCCATGCACAATTACTGTATTGAACCCGAGAAGCAAGCAGAAGTTGTGGACTGGGCTAAAGAAAACCATAAAGAGAAGTGGGAGGATCTCATAGAAGGTGGGCTTCTAAAGTCTGCAACTCCATATATGCCTGATACGAACTTATTAACTGCCGGGCACACTGAGTAAAGCTTCATATGAAGTGAAAGACCACAGGTGCAATGTACCTATGACCAGTGAAAGACGAGGCATTAGTTTGTTACAAAAAGTGAAAGAGATTCCAGAACCTAACAATTTTTCATTTTAAGAAGAGCCGAGTGGTTTTTTGCTGGTGGAAAAGGCGACACAAAGAACACTGTATCATGGCCAACGCTGGTATATGTCAGATGATGTAGAACACAACAAACTTTCTGAGCTAGTTCCAACAGTAGCACATTCGAGTGATTTACATATAAACTGTCGTATAATTTCTAGGTCAACAATGAACCAAATGTAGGAGCTAAGTACTGAATCTCCCGTTTACTCTGGTGAAGTCATACATCCTGAGACTGGTATCTAGGTAGCACGTCCTCGATCCGAAGAATTTAACTTGGTGCCATTCACCTTCTTTGCAAACCGTAGAGAATTGATGGTCTCGCTGACATTCTGAACATTTGCTGAGACATTGACAAACATCAAAGTTTTGGAGTCACCACCCAAACTGTGCTTGAGAAGATATGTTAACTTGGAGTTTCTGTACGGAACATGCGCTGGATTGATATCCCTGCTGTATTTTTGGCGTTCTCCTAAGCATTGGATTACGTCTCCCAAAGACGAAAGCGACTTGTTAATTGCCTGTGTCTCTTTTAACCGCGCACCCTTGGCCTGAGACGAGTTGAGTCGTTCAGATCCAGCCAAATCAATCAAGTTGAGGGTGCCCTCGCAAGTCGAGTTTGACTTTTCGTTCCGGCCGCTAATTTTGAGCATAAACACAGAGTGCGAGCGCGAGGAGCGGCTATTCATCAAAGTCGAGGCGGTAGACCTATTCAAGGTGGCTTTCAGTAGGATTTCAAGCGCTTGATCACGCGACTGTAGGCGAACAGCGGTGCAGTTGGTGATGGTCGTATGTTTGGCAGTGTCGTCATGTTTGATCTCCCTTTTGAAATCTTTGTTCCCTCTTCCAAGCAAGTCGATGATCAGCTCGTTGTATATCTCCACAAACTGCCCGTCGATAGTATACTCCCAGCCCTGAGCCGTTAGCTCCTCGATGTCCGAAAAGATCTTGGCGATGGAGAGCGGTATCATCCCGTCTGTGTCGTGGGACATGGTCCATGTTTTTCCAGAGCCGGTCTGCCCGTAAGCAAACACGCACACGTTGAAGCCATCTAGAGAGGACTGGACGAGCTGAGAAATTTCCAAGAAAATGTCGCTATTTTGCGCGTCTGCACCAAAAACCCTGTCCAATTCAAACCTTTGACTAGAGCCGCGGGACCCCGGGACATTGGTCATCATGGATGCACCCCGTAGAGAAACGGCGCTGTAGTCGAATGAGGTATTTCGAGGGTCAAGGACAAGCACTTGTTTCCCGTCTGGAGTCAAATCTTCCTGTGACGAGATTTGCATTGGGATCAATTGCTGTGAGTCCTCTTTGCAAGGTTTGACACGGCAAAATACCCGGATGTTTCCCTTGAGTTCCTGGAGCTTGTTGTGCAATAGCCTCCGTTCAGCCTCAAGTACCCCATACTTTTCTCTATACGTTCCGACAGCATCTTCACAGTAACTTATGCAGTTGGCATGCTTCTCCACCGAGCTTTGGAGTGACTTGACCCTCGACTGAATGGCGGTGATTTGGTCCAGAAGAGCCTGCTTCTGCGATTCCTTATCGATCTGTTTTTGTCGGAGCGCATGCAATGTAGTATCAAAATGCGTTGCTGTGCGCTTCAAGTCTTTCTGCAAGGTGTCTTGCAAAGATTTCTGGAGCTTTTGCTTTTTCGCGATATTTTGCATTAGATCATGAGTCTGGCTTTGAATGGAAGCTACTTTTGAGTCTGCGCATTTCCGGAGAGAAGATACCCGATTTTCCTGGTCTTCCTCGAAATCTGCAATACGTTTCTTGAGCTCCGCAGGGCTAGAGTTGATTTGCTCTTGCAATTCGGACACTTGCGAGAGAAGCATTTCCTTCCGGGCCAGGTCTTTCTGTTTCATCTCGGACACAGAGGTCTCAATCTCGTTTACAAGCTGGACCTTGATGTGGGTAAGTTTTTCATCAAACTCGACGTCGATTTCCTTTTTCTTCAACTCCAAGACGTCGCCCAAAGTTTTAACGGACGCAGCCTCATGCCCAAGTAATAGGGAGATATCTGTCTGGATCCGCTGCATGCCTTTCCGGAGCTCCGCTACCTTGTCGTCAAGAACACAATTCTGCATTTCCTGCACCCCCTGTTGTGTCTCAAGCTTCCAGAGCTCTTGCTTTACTTTTGAGAGATGTTCATGTTTTTTGAAAATCTCCATTTGCATTTCATCGTGGATCTTCAGACTAACCCCGCGATTGAGTCGAGTGGGGGAGGGCGAGAGCGTATATCTCGCACTTTCCATGATCATAGGGCTTTGAGAAAAAAGATAATGAGGTCTCTGAAAAGTCTTCGGCCAAGTTCAATAAGGAAATCGTGGGGGTGTCGGAGATCAAGTCATACACCTCTTCATCGCTAGACGCAGGTGACTTGTTATTATCTGAAGCAGTGGTGCGACAGCACTGCAACGCGTACGTAATGTGCCGAACCAATCAACTCATCATGCGCTTGATCAGATGGGGCGACTCGACTAAGAGCTTGGCTTGCAAAAGCGGGAGCATGGCAGCAACAAGATATGAAAGATATTCAGAGGGTGATTCTTGCAGAAGTTGCAAATTTTTTCATGTGTTGGGGCAGTCGTCGCGGCTAGTGCTTTGTCCTGCCACTTTTCGCAACAGGGCCGATCTCAAATGTGAAGCGGCTCGACCGGCGATTCTAATTCACCCAAGAAAGGCCAAAAATCATAGAGAAGCAACATGCGACAGTGATAAGGAATGACGTGAAGAAACTCTTTGTTCTCATTCTCAAACGGCCCGTAACTGGATTTGTTAGTGTTTGGTGTATCCAAGTCACGTTCCAGGTATGGAAAATACTGAGAAGATCAGTTACACCGTAAATTGACCAGCCACAAGAAGTGGACTTGTAGACTCAGCCAAATGGTGTGATTTACAGAACAAACGTGACTTGTTACTAGTATGGACAATGTGCGAAATGATACAAGAACTTTGCCCTGGCCATGCAAAAGTCCCAATGCTTCTTGCCACTACCAATTGCCAATGCCCCCGCTTTGAAACATCGGTGCCGAAACTCAATTTTATTTTTTGAGCCGGCTGAAACGTTTGCGGACATTGCCTGTAAGACTCTATTTTCAAATACACTATTCATACATGCACTAGGTGCTCACTCGACTCAGGTGTGCACATGGGAAACTAGATGAGATGAGAGTGATGGCCCGAATGAATCCTTCATTTATTTCAACCAAACATTTGGAATCGTGGAACATGGCTCAAAAAAGAAGTAGAGAAAACGCTGGTAAAAGCGATAGCACTGCCAAGGTGGACAAAAAGGCTATTGAAACTTCAAAAATTCTCGAAGAGAACGAGAACCTATCTGATTTGAGCGATTCCGGTTTAGATGACGATGATGAATTTGCCGCTGGCCAGGAGGGTCCTCTGGGAAGCAGCAGTCTGGAAGAAGATGGTGAAGGTTCTGCTGATGAGAGCGAAGATGAGTCGTTTCCTTTGAAGAAGAAGAAGAAGAACACAGATGATGGTAGAGGCACCTTCGCGAACGCTTTCAACGCCATTCTTGGGTCGAAACTCAAAGCCCACGATAGAAAGGACCCCATTATGGTGCGTAGCAAGGGAACTCTCAAGAAGTTGGAGTCGGACAAATTGGAAGCCAAGGCAAAGCGTTTGATGCATTCCGAGAAGAAAGAATTACAGGATAAACTTAGAGTTACCAATCTTTTGCCATCTGCAAGCGACACTGAGAATGTGAGGGAAATCATTGAGAAGGAAAGGAGACTCAAAAAAGTTGCACAGAAGGGTGTTGTGAAATTGTTCAATGCTGTTCTTGCTACACAGGTGCGTACCACCCATGATGTCGGCCAAGAAAAGGTGGGAATGGCCAAGAAAGAGGAGCTCATAAATGAGCTCACTAAGCTGAAATTCTTAGACCTTGTGAAAGCTGCCGGGGAGGAATAGAGGCTTTGATAGTTATCCTCACCCGAAGAACATTGAGGGAATACCAGAACTGTGACCCATCAATGAATACAAGACGCAAGAATATAGTGAACCCCAAAACGGGCCGATTAGCTCATAGACCAAACTTTTGGGAATCAAGACTCAAAACTGGGACCTAACACGCATTACATTATGTAATTGACGACAATGCAGTACAATTTGTCTAGCTTTTTGATGGATGTCACGCCAATCACAAAAGTACTCGGATTTCTTTAAGCATCGTAGTTTTAGATTCTCCATCTTTGTAAAAAGATCGCAGTTCCTTATAAGGTCGTGCAGAAATTTTTTCTTATCTTCGGAAAAATACAACATGTCTTGCTCAGAGAGTTTTGCAAAACCACCGTTGCTGTCTCTCTCACAAGCTGTCGTTCACCCAATACTGAAATCTCAAAAGAGGATCTCCAAATGGAAAATTTTTGCAAGAAACGTGATTTTCGTTCGAATATTTCCTAATTTTTCTTTTGTTTAAAGGCTTGTTAAATATGGCACAAGCGGTTATCTTTGCGCCCGATCATGAGCCTAAGCCGCAATTTTGGAAGGTATTTATTGAATATTATCCCAAGGAGTACAGAGAGATTTGTTGGAAACATAAAGCTTTCTTCCGTGCGTCAAGTTATCATTCAATCAGCCACTTCGCAGATGTGGGTTGCAGAGCTTGTGCTTGCAATCATTTTCCCATTTTTGCGTAACCATTACTATCTTCATGTTTAAGAAAAGATGAGCACATGTGTCGGCAGTGGCTTGACCCAGACTTTTGAAAAAATCCCTTTTGCTGGAGCTCTAATATAAAAAATCATTCTTCACTTAAGTATTATATCATCCAGATGATATTGTCTTTTTCAATTTAGTAGCTAGCGAAGTACATGATTCTATGACAGTTCGAATAGTACTCTGGTGATTTATCATACTGATACAAACAAAAACAATGAAAGCGAACATCCCTCTGTTAGGGACTTTACGGGGACATAGGGGTTATATACTTTTTTTTGATTACTGGTTTCTCTAGAACTCTACAAGAGTTCTATTCCACCTTAAGATACCTTATCTAGACGTCACGTGAACGGACCATCTAGAACTCGAGAAGATATTGTATGAGTTGTTCAAGATGATATCTGGAGGAACTCACATTAATGAAAGTGCATATAGTCATATATGCGCTTGCAAGGAGCCTTAGTGGCGAGCTGATACCAGCGACCTTGCACCATCTTAGGACTTAGCTATAGACAGGGTTAACGCAAAGCTTTTTTTCAAGCCCATATTGAAAGAAACCATTTAGATTATGTTAAAATACTTTTCTGACACTCTTGTCAAAAACGATTCCAAACAACAAACATTTATTACAAACGTATAAGCGATTTTAGCATCGTCAATCGTTGAGACATCGTTTGTTTCTAGATTTGCTATGTTCTAGAGAGTGTTAGCACACCATTAATGTTCCTGACTAGAGGTTAGAAAGCACTGACTACCATGAAGCTACAGAATTCCTAGAATGAGCCGAGTGAATAGCCGGAACGCAAAGGTTGTACATATATCGTATGCTCTCTCGTGAAATTCATTGGGGCTATCCGAAGTGGCCTGTATGGCTCAAAATTTTTGCATAATAGTCATGCGTACCACTGCCGTATTAGGTAAGGTATAGCATCCCTGTAATAAACCAATAAGTTTTGCTCGGGTGAAAAATGACAACCCATTATATGACCTACTTCTCTGCAGAGAAAATTCATCGCTAGCCGCAATTCGAAACAAACGTGAAAGAGTCAAGAATCTGATACTCTCAATGCCGGTCTCTCGATGATTGCGCAATAGTTATAGTGTTCATATGAGACGCATAAATTATCGCGCTTGTCATATTCTTTGAGCATTGTGGGGGTGGTGGTCTCTATATGAGTACCTTTTCGGGATAGTTGACAATTATCATGAGCCTCACATCTAAATAAAGAAGTGGATCAAATAGACTAGCTAGTTTCTATTCGGGCTCATATGATGCTTCAGATTTTGAGTCTTATTGGTTTTCTATCATCTTGGTTTTCTGTCTGATGACCACATCCCTAGTTTGACGGCGCATTCCGGCACCTTGCGCTCCCCCACAATAGCCCCAGGTGCAAATATTAAAAAAAAGACCATTTTTGACGACTTGCGATGCCCTCTCTTTTGTCTCTCTTTTCTTCCATTTAAATACTCTATAGGCAGCTTACTACATACCTTTTTGTTAAATTAGGGTTTGTTCGATCACCTCAGCTCATAATCTCAGGTTTAAGATCTATATATATTTATCTCCTCAGATGTCGTCTTTATCTCTTCCAGATACAAAGATTACCTCCAAAATCCAGTTTGCTGACCACTTGGAAGATCCTCGAGCTGCAGTGGGGAAAGCTAAATTGGCCAGCAGACCCATTGCAATCACAAGACAGTCTAATGACTACTTTACCAATCTTACTAGACACTCAACAGTCAACATAGAAGCAGAAAGCATTGGGGGTGATCCTCTGATCTTGCTGCCTCGTGTATCACAGCAGCCTCCCAAAACCAAATTCATGACTTCAAGTTTTCCGCCTCGAAACAAATGGCGGATTTGGGGTTCATGTCTCTGGTCAATTGCTGGTGGGTTCTCAGATGCTGCACCAGGAGCTTTGTTGCCCACTATAGAAGCACACTATTCAATTTCATATTCAGTTGTGTCACTCATTTGGATGTCTAATGCCATTGGATTTATTACCGTAGCCTTGTTGTCGCACAAAATCCAGCCATGGTTGGGAAAAGAGAAATCCATTCCATTTGGGTGCATTTGTCTGGTTATAATGTACGCAATTGTTGCCAGTGGTGGACCATTCCCACTTGTGGTGGTCGGATTCTTTTTTGGCGGGATGGGGATTGCCGTGGTACTCTCACAATTGAATATTTTCTTGAGCAAAATGGAAAAAAATTCCAAGTATCTTTCGTTTTTCCATGGCTCATATGGTATCGGAGCGACCATCTCCCCCTTTTTGGCAACCACAATGATCGAGCGCAATGTTCGCTGGAACTACGTGTATCTTATTATATTGGGCTTGATGATCATTAATCTTGTAAATTTGACTATGGCATTCAAGGGGGCTGACGAAGACCTCAAATACTGGGATCATGATGATGAGACTGACAGACTTCTCGACTCCGAAGCGAGCGAAATTGTCTCGGGGTCTCAAACACCTGCCAAGTCGGAAGCAGGTATAGGGCTTCAGGACTTGGGAACTCATGTCACCTCAATAATAGACAGTTCGCCAAGCAAAAGTCAAAACGATTCCTCGGACTTGAAGTTGGCTCTCAAAAATACCATCACATGGAATATATCCTTTTTCACGTTGTTTTACCAGGGCTGCGAGGTTGCTTTGGGGGGCTGGATTGTTACCTACTTGATCGACTACCGTCTCACCACTACATCCTTCGGATATGTGCTGAGTGGATTCTGGGGTGGCTTGACGCTTGGCAGATTGTTCATGACTCGCCCCTTGCACAAATTTTTGGGGGTGAAAAGATCAGTGAATCTTCTTGTCCTCACCACCATTTTGATGTTGATATTAACCTGGGTAGTCTCAAGTGACATTTTGCTGAGTGTTTTTGTGTCTATTGCGGGAACTTTGATTGGGCCAATATACCCGTTGATGATAACAGGGGTGTCCACCATGCTTCCTCGGAAAATCCAAGTAATAAGTTTGACAATCATGACCGCGTTTGGGTCGAGTGGTGGTGCCATCGTGCCCTTTTTGGTGGGCTTGATTTCGCAAAGCTCAGGAACATTTGTTGTTTTGCCTATTTGTATTGCTGGCTACTCGCTTGTGCTAATGTTTTGGTTGATGCTCCCGAATACTGATCGAAAGGGTGAGAGGCCTACTAGTGTGTTCGAACGTTTGCTCCACCTGATTTGGTGAATTGTCCCCTTCTTCAAGAAAGAGTCTCGGGTGAGCAAAGGAAAGAAGCGTCTGAAGTATTATCTTTATTGATCTGCTGACTCAAGTAGAGTGTCTGTTTTTCTATTAACAAGATTTTCCAATTTCTACAATCAAGTAATTCAGTAATATTGGGCTCTCATATTTCGCGGCCATGGAACAGCGAGGAAAAAACATCGCCATGGAAACGCGTGGTTCTCCACACTTCACCCCTCCGAGCGTTCTCAAGATTTCCACTTATATTCAAGATCCATAAGTAGTACGAGACGTCATGGCCATTGAACAATTGATCAAGCAAGGCGACCAAGCATCTGAAAAGAAAGATTTTCTTACTGCCATTTCCAAGTTTTCTGAAGCTCTTAAAGAAAACCCACAAGCGTTCACTGCACTTATCAAGCGAGCGCAAGTCTACACGAAGCTTAGCGATTATGACTCTGCAAAAGCGGACATAAGCAAGGCGTTTACTGCTGCAGAACAAAGAGGTAAAATGAGCGACAAGGCCACGTGCTATTTTCGCTTGGGGCTTGTCTGCTATGCCAAAAAAGATTTTGAAGCATCGCTATTGAATCTTAGAAAAGCAAGAGATTTCAAATGTACTGAGGCGGCGTTAGATATCTGGATCGCCAAGGCAGAGCGTGATGCCAAGAAGTCAGCAGGCAGCAAAAACGAGGGCGATCTCACATCAGAAAAAGAAAAACACAAGAAGATTTCCAATCCAGAGAAAGACGAGCGTGTCCCCACGCAGAATGCCGCATCATCGTCCATTGACACCATCAATAAACAAGCTCCCATCAAAGCTAAAATCAGAGACGAGTGGTACCAGAGCAAGGACTCCGTGACCATCACCATATTCGCCAAAGACGTGCCCAAAGATTCCGTGCAAGTTGAGTTTGGCACGCGTTCTTTGGCGGTGGCGTTCCCCACCTCAGAGGCTTCTGAATACAGCTACACGCTTGATAGTCTCTATAGTGAGATTGTTCCTGAGCGCAGTAGTTATGTGGTGGGCTCGAAAAAGATGGAGATCAGTCTTCGAAAAAAAAACGAGGGTAAATGGGCTGCCTTAGAAGGTGACGGACCAATCTCAATTGTGCCACCAAGTGCGAGTGGGCCCAAAACTGGTGGTCTTTCGTACCCTACATCTTCTCGCAAAAAAGTGGACTGGTCAAATTTTGATGTGAAGGAGGAGGATGACGAATCGGGTGATTTCTTTGCCAAACTCTACAAAGACGTGGATGAAGACACGAAGCGTGCAATGATGAAGTCATACGTTGAATCAAATGGAACAGTGCTAACTACGAATTGGGCTGAGGCAAAAGAAAAAACATTCGAGACAAGTCCACCCGATGGCATGGAAGCCAAGAAATGGGGGACATGAGTGATGAAGTAGTGGATATTTGTCCCGCTAATTCGGAACATATGAACATCAGGTTCAGGCGGTATTAAGTTATCAGTGTAGTTTAAACACAAATGACACGTGCCATCTGTGGGGCTCTTAGACTCGAAGCCCTCCCACTTGTCGCCTGCAAGCTTTGTTGGTGGTGTATCTTTATGGGAACTCGAAGTCTATTTCTCTTCCAACTATTCGAACTCGACACATTTATGAGCATTCTTGTGATACCCTGGAGATAATATTTGAAACTAAATCCACTGATTTAAAGTCCGGTTCATTCTTATTGTGATTTCCATTTCATTCTTTTTGTGATTTCCATCGCATTAATTCCGGGGAATTTCGTGATCCACATCAACAGCACTATTTTGTAGCAATTCTGGAACACACAATACAAATTGCGAAAAACAAACTTTACAGGATAGTATTCTGAAAACCAACTGCAATCACAATGCATGTACGCAAGGCCTTGTCTATTGTATTTAAAAGCCCACGGAGACAGGAAAATAAAGAACGTTATTAAGAGGAGAATGCAAGCGTAAAAATTGGCTCCATTGCGGTGCTCTAATGTGATTGCCCAATACTTTACCCATTCCCAGCCCCGCACCTTTCCTGTCTTTCGTGGTGGGGAAGGAAGAACTTCGGGTATACTGCAGCTAGTACTCACAAGTAGTCACGTGACTACCGCGCGCGATAACTGCCACGGAACAAGCTTTTTTACTAAATCTCGTCGCAGCAGAGCCGTCCAAAACGTATTATCAACAGCTACAAAACATAGGAGTCTCCCGCGTGGAAACAAAATTATTGTGTCTTTTTTCTTCTTTTGTGGGAATAGTAGTGCGTTTATTCGCGGTTATGTGAATGTTATTGAATATACCCAGCGAAGCCCGCCCGCTCCCACATTTAGACTTATCTCTATGCATGGAGCTGGGGGGCTCTGCACAGGCACACACACTGTGCGCGGGATGGAATCAGCTAATTTCGAGCAAGCCCCCGAAAAATGCATCAAGCCCGAATCGTTCCGATACCAAAAGCTTAAGGGGACGCTGTTTGTTTATTTCTTGACAATTCTTTAACTATTCTTCATAGGTTCGGCTAGCGTACAATGGGCTACTCTTATAGAATCACATGGTATGTTGGTTTCTACTCCCCGATCCAGCCGCGCAATTCATAACATGGTCATTTGATCTCTGTTGTGATGTGATCCGTCTTCGTGTGCTCCCTCGATTTCGGTCACTTTTCAACACTTTTGTTTGGAGTCAAAAACAGAAGTGCAGCACTTCGGAATTTGACAAAGCTATATTTAAAAAAGTGCTTCGTGTCTGTGACCTAGATATCATTTCCAGAATGTCACTAACTAATAATTAGGCCCGCAACGGAAGGCGTAGATGCCGTTTACGTGACGGGCAATTTCGCTGATTGGGCATTGTCTGAGAACAACATGCTCAAAAAGTCCGAGGATTCCGAGCTTTTTGAAGGTTTTGTCCGTGTGAACGACAAGCAAAAGCTAGTGTTCAAGTTTGTGGTGGACGGCTCCCTATGGACTACAGCTGAAAAGTACAAAGTTGAGTTTGACGAGCACGGGAACAAGAACAACTATATTGAGGCCGAAGAATTGATTCTTGATTCAACATGCAACCCAGGTGCAAAAGATAGCTCCAGCGTCGAGATCAATGCTTACGAGAAACGTCGTTCTATGGAGGGGCTGGTTGCAAAAGCTGCGTTGGATTTCAACAAGACTCCTGTAGAAAATGATGAGTCAAAAGTGGATGAAGACTACGGTGATCAGCTGGGCGATGATGAGGCAGGCGACAGTTCTGAAGATGAAAAGCCATATATGTCTACCACTTCAGCTGTTCCTAGTACCTCTGAGGTTTATTCCACGGCCCCCGCAGCCTTTGTTTCACTAGTCTCCTCGACAAATTGCAATGTTTCCAGAAGTCCAGCCATCAACAGGGATGAAACGAGCGGGTGTGACAGTGGTATACATGAACACCACGTTATCAAGCAATTTTCTCTTGACAATGGATGTGACTTGGAAAACATACTGCTCACGGAATCACTGTTCACAGAAGTCTCGTATGTGACCAGCAATTCCCAATCGATGGGAAATCACCTAAGCAATCTCATGAATCCTGAAGGGCAAATGAAAGAAGGTTTCATGTCAGTTAATACCATTTTTGAACCTGCAACAGACCATCCGGGAGGTGCGGGGTCGCCTTTCTCTGAGCAGTCGGAAGATGATCACAATTCATGTGTGTCTGGTAATAGCGATTACAGAAGTGACGAGGAGGTTGATAGTATCGGAATCTCAATCGAAGTTGAAGACCCTGGTAGCGGTGTACCTCTGCCAGGGGTGTTTGCAAAAATACGGGGGCTTTTCCACTTTTGATGCATTGGTTGACTTTGTAACTCTACAGAACGTCTTCGTTCAGAATATTTGCCGCTGATCTTGTAGCGTTGTCTTGCTTCCAAGTTAGTATAATCTCACTTCTTGTCTCGAATTATAATACATGTTTATTTAGATCCAGAACTGTTGGGCGAAGTACCATGTATTCCATGTAGTACAGAGTGAGTGGGGAATATCCTGTTATTTCTGAACAAATCAAAACCAGGAGAGCGTTATGCTCGGCTAAGAAGTTGAAAACGTATACCTTCTTTATCCTTTTACACGGCGACAAAAGGTGGCATCACGGAAGGCTCCTCGCAGAAAAAGGTGGGTGGGATAATGGAATGAGGAGTTTATGAGCTGTGGAAATCGTGGTTGTTCATAATGCTGGTGAGCCCTGTAATTCTGTCTTGTTTTTTCTCGATCTCCTCGGGATCAGACTTCTTCTTTTCGCTGTTCACACTGTCGGCAGTGACACCGCCAGGACCAATGAATGCCAAGATTCTCGAGATTTCTTTTGTGTCAAACGATTCATAAGTGAGGTATTTGCTTTGGCCTGAATGTCTGATTGTGAACTTGACGCCTGTATTTTCCTGGTTCTCTTTGACTGTGTAAGAAATGCTCACCAGAGCCGAGGGAAATGCCTCCAAAAGGTCGGATGCGTTATATATGAACTCTTCAAGCGCAGGGTTTGAGTTTTTCTTCTTGAGCGGGGCAGACTTGGCAGCGTCTCGGTTTTTATTGTTGCTTTTAGTCATGTTTGCTTGAACTAAGCGAGTCTCTGAAGTTCAGCGAAACATTATATGATCGCGGGCACCTGGATTCGTCTTGTAAAATAGTGGTCACGTGACGCTTCAGCAATATCTGTGTTCGGCAGTACATTAGCTTCGTAGATTCTATCTAAAACATCATTTAATTCAAATATTCCAAAATCATTAGCTGTTCTATGTTTCACAATAAGCCTGCCGAGGTATGAAAGGTTTGATCAATTTGCCTCATCAGCTATGCAAGTAAATGTTAGTTTTCTCACTTCTGTCATAGATACCTGGAGTTACAGGTACATGAATCTGCTTGTGAATTTTCTGGAAATACACTGGCTGAATACCCAAGGTCAGATTTAAAGGAGTTCATGAAGCTTTTGGCGTGTGTCCTTATTAAATGTGCGTCTGGGAAACGTCTTGTTGTGAGACGGGGTTTATACTATTCTGGTCAATTTGCCCCCTTCAGAGACAAATGAGGCAATGCTCGTCTGCAAGAGTTATTCTATAGTTTATTCCTAATATACACCCACTTACCGTTTCATGTCCATGAATGGTTTAATTTACAAATTACAAGGGAACATCGTACCCAAGTAGGAAGCTCCCAAGAAGGAACATGTTGAGGCCAGTCACAAAGCCCCATACTAATACCGCCAACACAGTCATCACTGTGCCATTGCTCATATCAGTGTATCCTCTCATAACGAGCAAGCCTTGATCAGTGTCGCCATTCTCACTTGGCACTCTCTCGGCTTCTGGTCTCAAGACACCCATCGACGGCGCACTCACAGAATGTGAGCGGGATTTCGCCATATGTTCCAGAATCAAGTTTTGCTGCTCGTGGCTCTCGTCTTCGGGCGCATCCTCCCAGCCTGCGCAAGGATGCGCTCGTCTCAAATCCTGGAGCCTAATGGCAGGTTCCGTGGCTGTAAACCGCTGACTCTGATTTCTAAATTGAATGGTTGTGTTCTTTGTTACACCCTCTGGGACATCAGTGTCAAAAATCGTTTCAATATCGTCCTCACCTTCGCGGACCGTGACGGGCACCCTCATGATGGATTTCGAACAAGTGAACCAAATCAACGGCGCCGTGACAACAGGAAGCAAGACAGAAAGCACCACCTGCAGCGCGTTCAAAGTCCTGGCCAAGCCCTCTCTTCCAGCATACAACACCACAAATAAACAGGGCGCGATGGCTAGAGCCCGGGTAATGAGTCGTCTCACAACCGGAGAGAAGCTCCATCTCAAAAACCCTTCCAGCACCATCTGGCCAGCCAATGTACAGACCACACCTGCACTCTGCCCTGAACAAAGAAGAGCTAGCGCAAATACCATGCCCGCACTTGGAGATATATGTGTGGAAAGGAGTTGGTAGATTGTGAAGAGGTCACCGCTTGTTCCAGCTTCATCGTCGTCATCGGAGTCATCGTCGGACTCGTCGTCATCCCGCTTCTTGCTGCCGCCCATGGTTGCACCGGCAACAATGAGGATTGTGGCGTTGACAAAAAGAGCCACGGTGAAAAGCGATACGACGAGTTCAACGATCGTGTACGTCATTGTGTCTTTGATTGCATGGATCGACGGACGGTAATTCGGCTCACTGTCGTTGTCAGCATCGTGTGCAAGGGCAACATTGTCAACAGCTCGGTCGTGGTCCTCACTTGAGAAGTCTGCGGATGTGCCATGTTCGGGCTCGCTGTTGGGGGACTTTTCAGGCGCATAGTAGCCGTGCTTGATGTCAAAGTCCTTGAGCCTTGCCTGAACCAAGCCAGACCCCAAGTACAACGAGTGGGGCATGACAGTGGCACCCAAAATGGCCAAGCTGAGAAACAAGCCGTTTCCACCCTCACGCTCCTCGGTGTCAATGACTTTTTCGTTTGGAAGGAACCCCTTGAGAACTTCGATAACAGAAAAGTCGGGGTCTTTCGAGACCTGGAATAACTCCACGGCAAAACACACGACAGTGCCTAGCACCAAGAGAGACACAAAAAGCTCGAAGATGCGGATGAATAGTAGCGGGCCGTTGGGCCTGTAGGCCATGAGGACAATCAACACGTCCACCACAGTGATGATGACGCCTAGGAACAACGGGATGTTGAAGAGAATGTTTAGTGCGATGGCGGTGCCAACCACCTCGGCCAAGTCCGTGGCGATAATGGCGATTTCCGCAAGGACATAGATGAATAGATTGAGCCGCGGCGACAAGTTCTCGCGGCAGTTTGCGGCGAGGTCGAGCCCCGTCACTGCTCCCAACTTGGCAGACAAGACCTGGAGGAATATGGCCAAGCAGTTGGAGAGAAAAATGGAAAAAAGCAATTTGTATTGGTACGCCGAGCCGGCAGCAACGGCAGTGGAGTAGTTGCCCGGATCCATGTACGCGACCGAGATCATCAAGCCGGGCCCGATAAACTTCATGTATTTTCGTATGGCATTTGCGGCTCGGCGAAATGCGCCCGGGCCCTCTTGCGGGTCGATGGGAACACGCATTCTTGGGTCAGCTGCGGATGGTGGGTGCTGCGGTGGTCAAAGAGGAGTAAAAGCGAGCGAACGGCTTTGGGCTTCTAAAAAAAAAATAAGTGTCAAGGCTCTTCCTTCTTGATTTTGTTGAAAAGATGGAGTCCCCGCAGCAGAGTCGCAGTGGGCAAAGCTAGGTGGAGGAAAAATGCATGGGACTTATTTCATCTGGCCCGAAGCGCGGAGCCATAGGAGAAAAGAACCGCCGGGGCAGCATCGCGTGCTCCTCCTGTCCGGCTGGCGTGATGGCCCGCGAAAATCCATGACAAATGGCAAAACCCTGAATGAAAAAACCTGAATGAAAAAACAACATAAGAAGATTCATCAGAATAGCAAAGGAACCCGGCGGTACCTGGATTTCTTGCACGCTTCGGAATACGACCCGGCGTCTGTTTTTTGGAACTGTTCGTTGAGTTCCCAGAAGCTTGACCCGCGGCATGTATACACTCTCGTCTGATTTTGAAAGGGAGGCCGGGGCTCAACTGGGGAATACAAGGCCTCCGGAGTAGACCCAGTCCACGGCCAGTGAAAGCCAAAAGCCCTTTTTTCTTTGCCCAAAATCCAAGTTTCTAGGGCCACAGAAATTCGTCGCGTCTGCAGAGCGTGCTTTTGTTTTGTTGCATGGTACCTTCTACATTTGACTCAACTTCGTGGGGCTGATCGCGTCCTCCAGACATTCATCCTACTGCAGATTGCGGCCGAGTCATGAGAAAAACATATAAGCGCGGCCCGGCGCGATTTTTGATGCAACTGAGGGGGCACAATGTGAAAACCCACAGGGACTCCCACGTCTAGCTGGTGATTTCCCAAAGTCCAGGGAAAAAAATACCAAGAAAAGGTCTTTCGTTATCTCTGATCGTTTGTTTTGATCTTGCTTGTTTTTCTTCCTTGCGTACTCTCCTAATTTTGTTGCATGTCCCATCCTAGCGTTTGCTTGCCTGTTCCATGTCGCCGCTGAAACTTTGACCTTGAAGCCAAACGTAGCTTCATGACCATAATGAAAGAACGCCCCACTTCGAGAACACTTAGTTAGTACTCTCACACCTACCAAGAGATTGTGAAAATTGTTTGTGGTTTTCTCTGGTATATGCGTCAACAGAGACCAAATGAGCGCGAATTTCTCGTGGGAATCCACGGAATCCCTCGTAAAATGCTCGGTATGCGATTGCACGGCTGATTTTGACGCAATTTACCCACCTACATCCTGCACTGGAGCAAAAACCAATACCTTATATGAGCAGTAGGCAAAGGTCCTCTCGTATAAATACACCGAAGCTTGGCCATGAAAATTTCGTTTCTTTTCATATTGCATCTTGGTAAAGAGCACCCGGCCAGAGTCAACGTCTGATATTTCCGGCTTTAACCAGCGTTGACACCACAGTTGTCATTGTGTCTCGGGGCAGTGAGATTGTTTCAGCACTATGTCGAGAGACGAAAAAAATTCTAATGACATTTCTCATGTTTTTACCGAGACCCTGGGCGAAACTGGCGAAATCAAGCCTTACTTATTTTTAAAAACATTGTCCGAGAAGTTGGATTCTCTTGGGGTCGAAGTCAATGGTATCGAGAGAGTGTCCCCATACAGACGGTCAGCCAACAAATTCAAACAATTTGTCACGGTGATTGGGCTCTGGGTTTCAGGCTGTGCTGGCTTGACATCCATGTCCTCTTTTTACTTGGGGCCAATGTTATTTGGGCTTGGTTTGAGGAAAACGTTGATTGCCGGCTTATTAGGGCAGTTCGTCGGGTGTTTGATAGCCGCATACTGTTCTTTGATGGGCCCGCGCTCTGGGTGCAGACAAATGGTGACTGCCCGGTTTCTATTCGGCTGGTGGATGGTCAAGTTTGTGGCGTTCATCGGCATAGTTGGCGGAATCGGCTGGTCCGTTGTGAATTGCATTGTTGGCGGACAGGTGCTCAGTTCCGTCAGTGACGGCCGTGTTCCCTTGGTTGCCTCCATAGTCATTATCGCGGTGCTTACCCTCTGTATCACAATCGGTGGGATTCGGCTTTTGCTCAGAGCTGAAACGTTCCTTTCCATCCCGATTGTGGCGGCCTCTTTGATGTTGTACATTGTCTCGGCTAGCAAATACCAATACTTGACATGGGAGGACTCCCCAGACGTGGATGCCGCCACCATAAGAGGGAACACCGCATCTTTCTTTTCCTTGTGCTACTCCATCACCGCAACGTGGGGTGCAAATGCTTCCGACTATTACACTTTGTTCCCACAAGATACGCCCAATGTTCAGATTTTCACCTTGACGTTTCTCGGAACACTTCTTCCCACCACTTTCGTTGCGGTCATTGCCATTTTGACAGGAAACATTGCTATGACGTACGAGCCTTGGATGGAGGCGTACGAGAACTTGAGTATGGGCGGTCTTTTGGGCGCGGCTTTCGAACCTTGGGGAGGCGGCGGGAAGTTTTTGTTGGTGTTGATGTATCTTTCTTTAGTGTGCAACACCGTCATGACCACGTATTCGACGGTGTTCCAGTTGCAAATCATAGCCATCCCGCTCGCACGAGTGCCCAGGTGGCTTTGGTCGTGCCTCATCACAGTGGTGTACCTTATTCTTGCCATTTTCGGCCGGTACAAGTTTGCTTCCATCTTGGGTAACTTCTTGCCCATGATAGGGTACTGGATTTCCATTTACGTCTGCTTGCTTTTGGAGGAAAACACGATATTCCGGACCAGATGGTGCAGACACTTGTACCGAGAGGAATTCAAGGACCTCGACTCAGACACGTCTTCGTTTTCGGGCGTCGAGCATTGCAATTACAACTTTCTCATCTGGAATACCCAGAAGAAGCTCACGCAAGGCTATGCCGCCACGTTTGCATTTGCTTGCGGAGCGGCCGGAGCTGCGGTGGGAATGTCTCAGACTTACTGGATTGGTCCATTGGCCAGAAAGGTAGGCGGCGACTATGGTGGTGATGTTGCCATGTGGCTTTGTATGGGATTCAGCGGTGTTGTCTATCCCTGGCTTCGGTACCTTGAGTTGAAGAGGTTCGGCCGATAGACGGCAAGTCAGACACACCGCATGCTTTTGTGATGTTATATATGAGCGTTATTCATTCAAAGTGCCTGTCTTGATTACTTTGTTGCCCAATATGTTTAACTCGATGGCTTCGGTGCTTCAGCGATTGTGCATTTATGTTGACTAGTTGTGACCTTTCGACCACGAGTCTTTGGGAGATGTTTTCGAGAAGGCATTGAAACTTGAAGGATGCTCAACACCAAATACAAGCATAGACTCTGGAATGCTTGGATATTCGGGAGCTTGTCAGAAAACAAGAACTTTATTTTAGCTTCGATATTGGGTGTCGATGGATAAGAATTGGATAAAAATCATAGACAAGATATTGCTGGCTAAGAACACCTATCAGATAAGAGACTAAGGAACGAGATCTGTCCAAAAACTAAGATTATGTCATGAGATCGATTCCCTCAGCTTATAGACTAGGTCATAAATTCATTTTCCAAAATGCGCCAAAACAATTTGGTTCTCTGTACCTCTAATAAGGCAAAATCTCCAAAGGCTTGAATTCTCCTGACGACAGTATTATTAGATTACGTTGTTCCTGCTGGATTCACTTCACACAACAGCATACACATATTCCGAAACAAACAATGCAATATGGCAGGTGTTTAGAGCTTTTAATATTTGGGTACAATGTATCAAAAACTTCTAGAGCCATATATATGCTTTTGCTTCTTGTGCTTTTATTCTCTCATAGTCTGAGAAATTCTGGAACTATCTTATTAAATCATTTTTCGGAAGACATTGATGGTTGAATTTCTCTTGATGTGACACTTTTCGAGAAAGAAGTTTAATCATTTACACGAAACAAACACTAGAGTTCACGAATCACCTCTAAGCTTTCCTTTAAGTACATGAGGTAAAATCGAAAATCAGAGATATTCTTGCATTTGTTGCAGAAGTTCCAGACGATTAGATGAATTTATCACGAATGATCAGATAAGTGCTGCACCCCGATCTCAAGAATAGCGTTTTGCGCCAGAGACATCATATGCTTTTGACATACCAGAAAACTAGATGCTGATCTGTATAACAAAACAAAGTTGCAAACCAGGGCGTGTTATTTAGTCTCGATCAAACATTAGGTGATATGTATTCATTATTATGGAAGCAGGAGCAGCAAGTCAGATAAAGGAACTACTCGGCCCAAAATCATAAGAGCAATCTAAGAATCTGATTGAGACAAAATAAAAATCCTGAATTTATTACGCAGGACACCTTTCTTTCTCGACATGGTTAGTCTCTTTATTGTTCTCCTCGCACGAACTTTACTTCTGAACCTCCTTCTAGGTTTACTGTTGAGCAATACTCAAGGCGTCTCTATACTTTCTTTTCTGCCACAATTTTTCATCATCTTTTGTGGAACACAAAGTTTTGATATCATTCTACAATTTTGTACAGATGTAATTCTTCGGATCGTAATATGCTATTGAAGGGAGTCAGTGGCTGGATAGTAATCTTGTGTGCCACGAAGTCGCCCACACTGTCCACTTCTTGTCGACCATTCTTACATTACTTGTCTACGATTCATCTACTCAATTACCATAAAGGAAAGTGTATTACCACCACGGCTATGCGTCTAATGTATGATGTACTAATAAAGCAAAAGAAGAACAACAACAACCAATACATCAATTCAAATTTATGCACTCACATGCAGAGAAATGTGATGTGCAGGTAAGCCATCCGGGTCTTTGACGGCTGCGTTTTGAATCTTATGATTTCTATAGATGCCAGGTAAATTCCAAGAAGACCCTACTTACTTCGTATCGGGTAATTTTTAGCTGATGGTATTTTTCTACTGGTGCGGTAATTTGAAATCCTCAGTCACTCCTATCCTCTTGTTCATAACTGCATGTTTTGGAGATACATAAAATATGTGCAGTGGACAAGGGGCGGATCCGGGGAGTCGGTTGGATCAGAACTGCTGCGAAATTAAACGTCGTTTTTGATTTTTTAAGCCTTTTAGCGTCACGAAATTACGAGTATCATTTCCCCTGCGTCACCAGGGGTATTTCTGACGCATTTGAGGATAGTTCGGCACTCGGTACTAGTGTTCCATTTGCCAAAATTAGCCGGCAAAGGTAGCAATTTACTTTTTGCTTTCTGTCAATCAATTTTGTGTTTCTCCGTGCCTTCAGCAAGAGTCCTCAAGTCTGTCTCCGATCCTCTGGCCTTCCTCTATTTTCAATCGCTTCTCATATTGACAGGTATCAAAGCTGCGGGTATAGCCACTCTTGGTGTCAAGCCAGACAAACTTGAGCTACGCTTATTGTAAAGCATCACTTCTCATGTGAATCTCATTTTGGAATACCAATGACTGACGAGCTTTACAAACCAGGCGACAAAATACGGCTTGGAAGAAAAGCCTGCACAAAATTGAGCTTGCTCTTTTGTTTGGGTCTGAGAACTCAGCTTCATCATTAGCCCTAGACGCCAAAATAAGTCTATAAGGTATACCCTTGCTTCACATTCGACCGCGAGAATCTCTCTTGATTGTTTAAACATGCAAGCGGCGTACATGTACCATCTCGTATCATCTTGACGATGAGTGCGAGTTTCTAAATGTATAACCTGTCTATTTTATCTGTGTTAATTTTTTGCATTGGCTCTGACTTGTCTGTGATTTGCTTGTTTCATGTCTATTACTCGGCAATTAATAACTCTCTTTTCATTGTCTTCCAATGTCTGCTACTTGTCTTTTAATGTCTGTTACTTGTCTTCTAATGTCTGTTACTTGTCTCCTATGTCTGTTAATTGTCTACTAATGTCTGTTAATGGCATGTTAATATCAATTACTTGTTTTCTAATGTCTGTTACTTCTCTATTCCATGTATATTGCTTTTCAATTAATGACCATGTCTTCCAATTCTCTGCTACCTACTTGATTACTTGCCTGTGTTCTGCATATTACATGTCTCTTGCTTTTCTATTACTTGCCTATAAACGTCAATTGCTTCAATTCTCTGCTACTTGGGTTTAGATTGTTTAACATTCATGTTATATATATTGCATATTTTAGTTAATTGTACCAATCTTATAGGATCTCTAATTTTCCATCAACATCCTCAATCAATGTTGTTGAGCCTATTTTATTATGTATGCTGATGCTGATATAGACAAGGCTACATTTAATATCACTATTCATCTTTATGAAGCTCAAGTACTTAATCAGTGATCGTTCAATTCTCAAACAGCTAGTTAGTATATCAAAAAAAAACTCAAAACTTCCAGATCTATTACTTACCTGTGTCGTCTCTATTGCTTGTCCATTCCATATCTATCACTTGCCTGTGTCCTGTCCATTGCATTTCTCTCACTTGCCTGTGTCCTGTCTATTGCATTTCTCTCACTTGCCTTTTGCTTTTCTATCCCCTGTCTATTGTTTTTCAATCACTTGCCTACCAATATCAAAGTCTGTAATTCTCTGCACTTGTCCATTAAACTCTATTCTTTGTCATTCCTGCCATCCCTTCCCTCTTTTTGGTGCACTGTAGCGGTTCGGGCGACCGCCTCGCGGTCTCATCCTGCGACTTGCTGTCCGCCCAAATCGTCTCATTCTTCCACCTGGGCCGGTGCACCACACCCTGCCAGAGCCGCTTTCCTCCACGTCCCCGACTCTCCGCTGCAATCGCAAAACATTCCACTGGCCCCGAACTCCAGTCTTTCCAATCTCTTCCAAACCCCACACTTCCAAACCCCCACACTTCCAAAATTCCCGCTCTTCCCAAATTCCCGCTCTCGCCAAACCCCCCTCATCCCAAAACAGCCCATCTCCCCCGTCTCGCTCTGCCGCGTGCCACCACGCAGGCGCGCGAGCCCAGGCCCCAGGCCCCAGGCCGCGCCGGAGAGGTCGCGCCCGCGCGGCACTGTGAGTCCGGGCCAGTGCGCCTGCGCCCAGCCCATTGCAACAACCCACCGGCCGTCTGCCCTGAGCGCCCAGCCCGTCTTCCCACGCCACCCCATACCACCATGCTCAGACGCTTCGCCAGCCCCGCCCGTGCGGCCCGCGCGTTCTCGTGCCGCGCCGCGGCGCTCAACGCGCTGGTTTTCCGCATGCCCGCCATGTCGCCCACCATGACCGAGGGCGGCATCGTCGCCTGGAAGTACAAGCCCGGCGCCTCGTTTGCCTCTGGCGACGTGTTGCTCGAGGTCGAGACGGACAAGGCCACCATCGACGTGGAGGCCACGGACGACGGCGTCTTGTGGGAGCTCTTGCACCACGACGGCGAGTCCGGCATCCCGGTCGGCCAGCCCATTGCCTTGTTGGCGGAGCCGGGCGACGACTTGGCCACGTTGGCACGCCCGGCCTTGGAGCTGCCCGCCGCGGCCGAAACCAAGGCGGCAGAAACCAAAGCGCCACAAACCAAAGCGCCACAAACCAAAGCGCCACAAACCAAAGCGCCACAAACCAAAGCGCCGCAAACAAAGGCGCCCGAGGCCAGGGCCGTGGCCCAGCGCGCAGAGCCCACAGCCAACGGGGCAAACCCCCAAACGGCAGCACCCACAACACCGCACCCCGCGAGCAGGGCCAACGCCGCGTTGAAGGTGTCCCCCGCCGTCGAGGTCTTGTTGCACCGCCACGGCCTCTCGCGCGCGCACGCGCTCGCGCACATCCCAGCGTCCGGGCCCCAGGGCCGCCTCTTGAAAGGCGACGTGTTGGCCCACCTCGGCCTCATCGACGCGGCCGCCGTGGCCCGCGCCGCGGCCTACGCGCGCAGCAGGCAGCACTTGGACCTCTCGCACATCTCCGTGGCGCCCGCCGCGCCGCGCCGCGCCGCGCCGGCCCCGCCCGCCCGCTCCGTGACCATCCAGTACTCGGCCGACTTGGGCCACGCCGCGCCGCGCGCCCAGCTCCACGCCGCGTTCGAGGCCGCCGTGCGCACCGCCACCCGCCACGCCCACGCCGCGCGGTTCCCCGCCTACGCACACACGCCCCTGGCGGCCGCCGCGCCCGCGGACGACCTCTTCGGCGACTTGCTCGTGGCGCCGGTGTCCACGGCCCGCTTCCACGTGCACGCCGTGCGCTACAGCGGCGCGGCTGCGCCGGCGCCGGCGCCTGAGGACTTGTTCGCCGAGCTCGTGGGCCAGCCGCGCGGCGCCTCCGCGGCAGCGGCCGCCAGCGTGCCCGGCCTGGCCACGGCCCACTTCCAGGTCACGTACGACACCCGGCTCAGCGACGCGCGCGCCTTCGTGGCCGCGTTCGAGGAGTCCTTGCGGCGCCAGGGCCCCGCGCAGCAGTTGACCGTGCACGCGTGAGCTTGCGGCGCCCTAAATAGAACCACCCAATACGACACCCACTGCTGCCGAGCGCGGCCGCCGCGGCGCGGCTGGCCCCGTGCCCGTAGACTGTCAGCGCATACGTGAGTCACATGACCAATATGTGGCCGCAACAATGACGAGCGTGAGAAAGCCACGTGTTTGCTACACGAGGGAGGAATAAATAGGGGCATAGGTCGAGGCCGAGGTAGAAACGAGTTTCTTTCTCAAGGATTCAGTGACCACTCTAAGCTGGGTCCGTAGTAATTAGTTACAAACACAAATCAAGAATAGAACCAGCGTTCCAATGTAGACGCCTCGCGCGCGCCCTGGTGAAATCGGCCGCGCGCGGCGCTGGTTCTGACCGAGGCCCTGTATGTTGTATTTTCCGCGGCCCAGTGCTGTGGGCCCATTCATGTTTTTCGTGGTCCAGTGCTTTGGGGCCCATTCGAATATTTTTAGTGGTTCGGCGCCCCGGGGGCATTTTTCTATTTGCCGTGGCCCGGCTTTCGGGCTCTGTTTTTTCTTATTTCCCCATGACCAGTGCTCCGGGGCCCTGTATTTTAATATTCTTCCTGTATTCTAATATTCTCCCTGTATTTTAATATTCTCCCTGTATTCTAATATTCTCCCTGTATTTTAATATTCTCCCTGTATTCAAATATTCTTCCTGGCCCAGTGCCATCCATCTATTTTATTCTCCTTGGCCCCGTGCTATCGGGCCCATTTATGTATTTTCCCTGGCCCTGTGCTCGGGGCTCACGTTCTTTATTATAACCGTGGCCTTTGCCCTGAGGCCATTTATTGATTCTCTCTGGCCCGAGCCCTTGGGCCCGCGTAACTATATATTTTCCCTTGCCCGTGCTCTGGGCCCATTTTTCCATTTGCCCTAACCCAGCTCGCGAGCCAATTTTTTATTTTGCCCTGGCCCAGCTGTCGTGCCCTTGTGTTTTCTTTTTTTCCCTGGCCCTGTGCTCTGTTTTCCCTGGCCCTATGTTGCGGGCCAATTTTTATGGTTTTCCTGGCCCAGTCCCAGGCTCAGAAAAGCCCAGAGAACAATCAGGCGCTGTATCTGAGATGAATAATTGCGTTGCTCACTTGAGAAGAAAGTCGTGCCAGGATGTAGCAAGCATTTTCTGACGGATTGGATTTCCTTGACTTCGGTGGAAAATGGTCGGGGGCATTTATTTATTCTTCGTGGCCCATGTCCTGGGGCCCGCGTAATTAATATTTTCCGTGGCCCGTGCTCTGGGCCCATTATTTATTTCCCTGGCCCGTGCTCTGGGGCCCATTCTTTATTGTTTCCGTGGCCTGTGCTCTGGGTTCTTTTTTTATTTGCCCTGGCTCAGCTTTGGGGTCTGTTTTCTTTTCATTCTCCCTGGTCCAGTGCTCTGGGACCTTCTATCTTTTGATTCTGCGTGGCGGAGTGCTCTGAGGCCCTGTATATAATTTTCGTGGTCCAGTGCTCTGGGACCCATTTATACTTATATTAATGGTCCAGTGCTCTGAGGCCCTGTATTCAATTTTGGTGGTCCAGTGCTCTGGGGCCCTGTATCCTAATATTCTTCCTGGCCCAGTGGCCCTGTTTTCTAATATTCTCCCCGGCCCGTGCTCTGGGACCCATTCATATATTTGCCCCGGCCCAGCTTCCGGGCCCCGTATCTTCTTATTTCCCTCGCCCAGTGCTCTGTTTTCCCTGGCCCAGCATTCGCGCCCATCTATACCTATTCCCGCGGGCCCATCTATACCTATTCCCGCGGGCCCATCTATACCTATTCCCGCGGGCCCATCTATACCTATTCCGCAGGCCCTTTTTTTTGTTTTTTCGCGCCCGCGTATTTCTCTGGGGTTTTTTTTTTTTTAATACTCCATCCTCGTCTTCACTTCACGGCTCCATCCCCTCGGCCATCCCCTCGTCCCGGCCGCCCCGCCCC